GGGGGGGGGGGGGAGAAAAAGAGGTGGGAAGAATAGGAAAAGAAGGGCGGGAGCCCTGAGGAAACAACTCAAATGCAAAAGACTCGTCAAAACAAACCTGAGTCTGTTGTACTGGAACTGCACTAGTCTGAATGCTAGAGGGGAAGTCAGCGAGACAATTGCTTACAACTCAGATGTAGTATGCTTCCAGGAGACTAAACTAGGCTCAAAGAAGTCATTCAATGTGGCAGGATTCTCGCCAATCTACAGCAGAGAAGGTCATAGACAGATGATTTTTGTCAGAGACAGCATCAAACACAGGGAACTGGATGTCAGTAGCTGGAACTCGACTAACCCACATCTAGAGAGCCAGCCTGTCAAAAATGTGGTCAATGTGTACTCCTGCAATGCTGCTGTCAGTGAAGAGGAATGGAAGAAGCTGGGAGACATGGAAGAGGTGCTCCCAGGTCCAACAGTATTCTGCGGTGTTTTCAATGCACGAGGGAGGGGCTGGGGCAATTCAACCACAAACCCACAAGGAGTCGCTCTCGAGGACGCCCGAGGCTTCTGCAAACTAGCATGTCTCAATGACGGAAGCATTACAAGATTGGCACAACGAGCGAAGGACACTGATGGAGCTATTGACCTGGCCTTGGTCTCTCTACAAACTGCCACAGAGTGTACATGGTGGGTCCTTGGACATCATGGAAGCGACCACTTGCCGTGCACAGTGCTTGTCAGGCGTTGAAAACCCGCCAAAACCACCAAGAAGACAAAAGCATTCGCGTATGAGGTCAGGGGCAAAGACCTCTTCAGCAGTCTCAGGAAGAAGGAAATCCCAGTGAGGAGGATGAAGCAAGTGGAGATCACCCAGCCGCCATGGTGGAATGATGGGCTGTACAAATTGTGGAAAGCTAAAAGGAAGGCGTTACAAGCATACCAACGCAACCGAGAGAAACCAGACCTGAAAAGAGCAGAGAAAGAAGCTTCAGGACAATGCAAGGTCGTGGCGAAAGAGGCTAAGGAAGCCATTTATGAAAACTTTTGTCAAAAGATGACAGATTCCGGCAGCTGTACAGATCAATGAAGAAAAAGAAGCCGGCCAAGGGTCTCCCAGACTTCCAACGGGAGGACGACGTGTGGGTGCAGTCAGACCAGGAGAAAGGTGAGGCGCTGTTTGCCGGATATATTCAGCAGACAGACCAGGACAACGAAGAGGAACGAAAAAGGCTCCTCTGTGCCATAAGCAAGCGGTACGCCGATGAACTCTTCAACTACACCCTCAGTCACGATGACTTTGAGAGAACAATCAAGCGTTCTTCCAATACCGCCCCTGGTCCTGATGGTGTACGGTTCTCTCACATGAAAAACCTTGACGAGGACAGCACCAGGGACCTTACAGAAATCCTCAACAGGAGTCTATGGAATGGAGAGATACCAGATGACTGGTTGGACAGCCACTTAGTACCACTCCACAAGCCTGACATGACAAGGACCAGAGTAAGATAGCTGCTTATCGAGTAATCACGATGCAAAATTGCGTGAGTAAACTCCTAGAAGAGGAGGTGGGGTACTCTATCGCAAAGGAGCTAGAACAGGAAGAGGCACTTCCAGCGACTCTGGGTAGCTACAAAAGGGGAAAGGAAACGTGGCTGAATGCCGCTGTTCTTGTATCAGATGTTTATGATGGGTTTGGAAGAAGCGAGGGGACTCTGATAGCAGCGCTTGACCTTGAGGATGCCTACAATAGGAGTGAGTATGATGTCCTTTTGGGGAACAATGATCATCATGAGGATTAGCCCCCAGCTCATGATATGGGTAGGTGAGGCATTGCTGAAGAAGTGAGTTGCAATGCAACTGGGAAACTGGACATCTGACACCAGAAGCATCACAGCGGGGTTGCGACAGGGATCATCACTCTACCAGTGTTATTCAAAATGTCAACAGTTGGAATCACTTCTGGACAACTGGAAGGCCCAGGGCGTGTGCTGAGCTTTGCAGATGATGTCCTTGTATTCAGACGGGGTAAGGACAGGCAAGAAATAGCTAACGCGGGGCAACAGGAGCTGGATCGAATTGGGCAATGGTGTGTAGACCATTACGCCGAACTCCACAACGACAAGGCCTGTGTGTTGTGGGGCTCGCTGAACAATCACGCGATGAAAACAAAGATGCCCACAGTCACAATTAACGACAGGATCCTGAAACGTGTGCACTCACTGAGGTATCTAGGTATCACCTTTGACAGATCACTCTCATGTAAAGATCACAGGGGGCTCTCGTGGCCTAGAGGTTAAGGTGTTGGCCTCTCATTGAAAGGTCCCGGGTTCGAATCCGGGTATCGACCGAAAAACTCTCTTCTCTAAAATTGTCGCCTTTCACCTCCTTTCCTGCTCTCTAGCAATGTTCTGT